GATGAAATTCAGCAGCTGCCCATTGACTTTTATTCTAATGCATTTCAAGTCATGGGTTTCCTGTTCTTTTCAAAGTCTAGGCAAAGCTTTTAAAAGTGACTGTGTTAATAAACAAGGCAGTACAGCTGCGACAGACTGAGACTGGGCTGTAAAATGCATGAGTTTTGGGCTTGAGGTAGTACTGAATAGACATGATCATATGGGTCCATAAACAGAGCACATATCTCCTTCATCCTCTGGTGTTGAAATTGTTGTGACTGGAGGTCGAGCATGTTTTTGTGTTCTTTTTTAAGAAAACGTGTCATTTTTGTCATTTCCAAACTCGATCCAATCAGCCGTTGCTCCGAAACCCGACTCGGTGTGAAAACTCGGATAGCGGAAACCTCTGTGACCTCTGTAGTGACCTCTGTGTCCCAAACTACGGGTAGCACGTCAACCTCCCCCAGAAAAGTGAACTGACAAGGTCTTTGTGATGTACAATTCTGTAAGCATTTCTCTGTGGTGTCCGTTAAAAGACTGAGATTTGACCGAGGAGATATTTCGCTGGACGCCTTTTTAAAGGTAAACAGGTGTTTTGAGGTTCGTGACTGAGGGGACGTCGTTTTCCCCCGTGCTGCTGGTGTCGTTTCATTGTCCATGTTAGTCAGAAAGGCCGTCTTTTCTGAGATGAAGAGTAGAAATGTAGCTGCATTAGTTTTGTCTTCATATAATGTGCATCTTCTGTCATTGTCCATAAACTGCCTGCTGGTGTCTGCCATGTTCTCTTATACACCTCATACCTCTCTCTCTCTCCCTCTCTCTATCTATCTCTCTGTCTGAGTGTGAAAGAGAGAGATGTAATGGAGTATAAGTGGATGTGGGAGCTTGTTTCTGTACTTGTGAACCAGATGACTGACTGTTACAGGCATTCTGTGTTTGTCCTTGAAGGAGATGAAGAACTAGAGTTGAAATAAATATTTTTATTCCTTTTTTTAATGTACACCTGCTCCCTCTTTTGGTGGTGACTACCGGAATTTCTGTCCATAGGTCAATAAAGATTTGTTTTTGGAGAAAATCTGGTGTTCATTGTTTCCTTCTGTCTTGTTGTTTTCTATATTTTCTCTCATTGTTTTTCTATTTTTAAGTATCTTACAAAAATAATGTGCTGGAACTGCTGTGAGACTACTGTGAGGAAGCTGTACATGTATGTGGTCAGATGGCGCCCTCTGGTGGTGGAGTGTGATTATTATTATTATTAATACTACTACTGCTACTACTACTACTACTACTATAATAATAATAGGCAAGCAATTTACTTTTTATTAGTATTTGCTAATTATATTGATGGTCATTAAACATTACAACATAATAAACATAACTATGTAATAAATTATACTATTTATACTTTAGCTAATTTATTTGTACAGCACATTTCTCAAACCCAGGTCATATTTCTTTTCAATCATAGGAAAAATAGGACTGAAAAAATTACATTTGCTAGTGACAATAATAATTAGCAACAACAGCATAATAATAATTATATTATATTACATTATATTATATTATATTATAAATAATATAACTTTTATTTATACAGCAATTTTTAAGCTCAAGATGTCATTTTTTCAATGATATGGGGAAAAATAATAAATAAATAATATATAAATAAGTAAATAGAAATAGCTTAGTTATTACATCAGTGCTAACATTATTAGTATATTTATTATTCAGAATAAAGTTATTACTTATAACTATTTGTACAAGCAGCACATGTTAAATACTCAACATAAGTTATTGACTAGACAAACAACAACAACGATAATAATAATAATAATAATAATAATAATAAGTTGTTACACTTTATCAGAACCCCCTCTTTTGTAGCTGGTGTACAGTTAGAGACAGCAGCTCATCTGTAGATGTACAGTTTGTGTTAATCATCCAGTCTCTGACCACAGAGTCGCTCTCGGCTGGATATTTTTAGGTGGTGGTCCACTCTCAACCTAGCAGTGACACTGATGTGCTGAGAATGGACCACCACCCAAAGAGTATCTGCAGAACAGGGATCCTGTGGTCAGAAACTGACCAATCATGAATGAGGGGCTGATAAACTGTGCAGCAACAGCTGAGCTACAGTCTGTAATTGTACACGTACATAGTGGAGCTATGAGGTAGGTGTTTCTAATAAAGTGGCCGGTGAGTGGACAACAGTAGGATCATTTCTAATAGACTTCTCACCAGCATTTCCTCTTTTAGGGATTATAGAGAGCTGCTCCCCTCTAAGACTGTGTGTGTGTATGAGACTCTATCCGTAGATATCCTCAATTCTGATGGGTGAGAAGCTGCAGATGTTCCAGTTCAAGCTCACTGTGACTGCAGATCAGATGGTCAGGGCGAGTGTGTGGATTCTAAGAATGATCAGCCAATAAACATAGGTCCTGAGCCTGAAGCTCCGCCTACTGTGACTCACAGAAGAAATAAAACCAACAAGTGGGACAAAACAATTACTGATCTACTCCAAATTAGAGCTGACCTGCCTTCAGATTCGCAAAATAACAGGGAATCAGAGCTTCACTGCTTTTCAGAAGGTTTCGGGACAACTTGTCAATTTATAGTTGAACATTTCTCACTGTTACTTTTCAATTAGGGAAAAAAAACACCTGTAAAGGTTTTGTTACCACAAAGCAAGGTGTAAACTCAGCCACAAGGTGGCAGTCAGATCTTATAATACCACATTAACTTCAAAACAACAGCACTGCGCCCCTCCCATTAATGCAGACAAAGCACAACAATGACAAAATTGGGGCTGAAAAGAAACTGGACCAGAAATTTAAAAGTGAAAAAAATGAGATTGGGACTGAGGTTTAGAGCGAAAATCTGAAAATCTAATCTACAGTTTACTCCTCTACCTCAAATCAGATTGATCAGTCAAGACAACACACACTAACACACCACCACATCAGATTTAAATGATCGGGATAGATGGGACCTTTAAGTGATCAGATAGAGGGGACTTTTAAATGATCAGATAGAGGGGACTTTAAATGACCTAGACAGGGGACTTTTAAATGATCTAGATACAGGGGACCTTTAAATGATCTGGATAGACTGGACCTTTAAATGATCTAGATAGAGGGGACCTTTTAAATGATCAGATAGAGGGGACTTTAAATGACCTAGACAGAGGGGACCTTTAAATGATCTAGATAGAGGGGACTTTTAAATGACCTAGACAGAGAGGACCTTTAAATGATCTAGATAGAGGGGACTTTTAAATGACCTAGACAGAGGGGACCTTTAAATGATGTGGATACAGGGAGCATTTAGATGGTCTGGGTATAAAAACCCTTGAAATAATCTGGATAGAGGGGACCTTTAAATGATCTGGATAGAGACCCTTTAAATGATCTGGATAGAGGCTCTTTGAATGATCCAGACAGAGACCCTTTAAATGATCTAGACAGGGGAGCTTTAAATGATCTGGATGGAGACCCTTTCAATGCTCTAAATAGGTGTCCCTTAAATGATCTGGATAGAAGGGACCTTTAAATGATCTTGAAAGAGAGCCTTTCATTGATCTGGATAGAGGTTCTTTGAATCACCCAGAGACCCTTTAAAAGATTTGGATAGAAAGCCTTTAAATTACCATGATAGAGAACCTTTAAATGATCTAGATAGAGGTCCTTTAAATGATCTGGATAGGGGTCCTTTCAATGATCTAATCAGAGACTCTGTACATGATCTGGACAGACCCTGTAAATGATCTTTTTTTAGAACAAGTAAGACAGTATAAGATCAACAATCAGAAGGAGATCACAGAAGCAGAGGAGCAGTTTTGGTTTGTGTGCATTTTTTATTCACATTTATAAAGAAGCTCATGACAGAACACAGCTGTGTCTGCCGTCCCTGGACTTCGTGTGGGAACAGCGTCACTTCCTGTCCCGAGCGCTGAAGACAGGCACGTCTCGAAAAAAAAAGAAAGGTTAAAATTCTATAAAATCATTCGCAGCGATCTAAAAACGTGACCATCCGCGTTTGGAGGAACACGATTATCAGTCTCATCATAGGCACAAACGAGGATCGTCTCCAAACCGTCCAGTTTCTATGATGGAACACGGCCGGTAAAGCTGAACCTTCGGAAAAGGATAAAAGGCCTCTGACACTGTAGGTGCATGTTGGAAAAGGATCGGATGGTAAAGGAAGAGCTCGACCAAACATGTTAATGTGGCTCAGGAAGTATGGAAGCTCCACCAATTAGCATAACGTAATTGGGGTAACACTATTGGACTGTTATCTTCAGCAACATCAGCCTTTTGTGTGATCGAACTATTCCTTTAAATACAGTCGTATGCAAAAACCTAAACACCTCTACTGAATCGACACGTTTTGTTTATTTTCTAAGAGAAAATAAGTTACACATCCTCTAAACATACAGTATATAAAGGCCACATTTAATGTAGGGCTGGGCAAAATGACTATATTGTTATCAAGATAAATTATGTCACAATAAAATATAATATGCATGATATATTTAGAAAACGTATATCATGTATATATAGAACACTGACCAACGGCATGTTTCACTATAAAGAGAGCAAAATTAGTCCCATTTAACTGGATTGACTGCCGTGTAATATGCAAATATTAAATTAAAATCACTGTATCTTGATAGTATTTTAAATGCAGCACTACTGGTTCCTTTCTCTCTGTTCCAGCTGATCAGACGTCTGAAGAACCAAATATCACAACATATCATGAAAATTTCGCCCACCTCTTTAAATGATCTTGATAGAGAGACTATAAATGATCTATACAGGGGTCCTTTGATTGATCCAGACAGGGGCCTTTAAATGGTCTAGATAGAGGCCCTTTAAATGATCCAGAGAGCATTTAAATGGTCTAGATAGAGGCCCTTTAAATGATCCAGAGAGCCTTTATGGTCTAGATAGAGGCCTTTACAGGGTCTAGATAGAGGCCCTTTAAATGATCCAGAGAGCATTTAGATGTCTAGATGAGTCTAGATAGAGGCCCTTTAAATGATCCAGAGAGCATTTAAATGGTCTAGATAGAGGCCCTTTAAATGATCCAGAGAGCATTTAGATGGTCTAGATAGAGGGCCTTTACATGGTCTAGATAAAGGCCCTTTAAATGATCCAGAGAGCATTTAGATGGTCTAGATAGAGGGCCTTTACATGGTCTAGATAGAGGCCCTTTAAATGATCCAGAGAGCATTTAGATGGTCTAGATAGAGGGCCTTTAAATGGTCTAGATAGAGGCCCTTTAAATGATCCAGAGAGCATTTAGATGGTCTAGATAGAGGCCCTTTAAATGATCCAGAGAGCATTTAAATGGTCTAGATAGAGGGCCTTTAAATGATCCAGAGAGCATTTAAATGGTCTAGATAGAGGGCCTTTACATGGTCTAGATAGAGGCCCTTTAAATGGTCTAGATAGAGGCCCTTTAAATGATCCAGAGAGCCTTTTAACGGTCCAAATAAAGGCCCTTTAAATGTTCTAGATAGAGGGCCTTTAAATGGTCTAGATAGAGGCCCTTTAAATGATCCAGAGAGCCTTTGGTCTATCAAGAACACTGACCAACTGCATGTTTCATTATAAAGAGAGCAGAATTAGTCCTGTTTAACTGGATTGGCATTAATATGCCAAATATTGAATAAAAATCACTGTATTTTGATAGTATCTTTAAAAATGTAGCTTTACTGGTTTCTTTTTCTCTGTTCCAGTTGATCAGATGTCTATAAAAACAAATATCGTGACATATCGTGAACATTTCTTGAAGTATAGTGATATATATTTTGCCGTACCACCCACCTCTAATTTCATGTTTTATTTTTTTTACCCCAATATTTTAGGTTCAGCAATTAAACAGCAGTAGTGCATTAAAATCACAGTAATGTGTTCTCTGTCGAGGATCTATTAACTTATTTTCACTTAAATCAACAAAACGTCAAACTTTTGCATACGTCTGTACGTGTAGTGTATAATCAGTTGTGATTATTTCTATGGAAGACACGCATTCATTTATCATGATCACACACAGTGTCCATATCACCCATGTCAAAATCATAAGCTACTTTCTGCTGTGCTCTTTGGAGAAGGAAAAAAACACACATTAAAAACACGCAAACGCACGCAGGTACTTTATCCAGCTAGTCCAGGCGGCTACTGTCTGATAGAGCGGTCTGGACGTGGCGGCTACAGGCCCAAGGCTTCCACGCTGCTGCAATAGAGCCCTCCTGTTGCGCTTTGAGGTCACTGGTGCTGTAGGTAGTTTTGGGTCTGGTGCTGTGAGTCCATCACTGGTACTGCAGGTAGTTCTTGAGTGTCTGTGGTAAAGGCAGAGACTGGATGTGGTGAATACGATGGCGGCCCAGAGCCTGCCGGGCTGCTCGTCTGCACAGCTCCATCAGCGGCAGAGGCTCCGCTGCGGAAAAAACAAACAAACAAACAAACAAAAAATATCCGTTACATTATCAGCTCATCACACAGGAGCTCTACAGTCAGAACAGCAGAGTTAGCTTACTGCACAGATGTGAAGCTTTAAGGGCTCATATCCTACATTTACATGTGTTTTATTTTCCTCCGCTTATGATGTTTGTGCGGTTTTATGCACCAGAAAGAGTCATAATTCATTTTTAATGAGCATTTATTAACCTCTCTTTATTCATTGGAATTAAACAGTTTGTTGTGTTAAGACTGATGTATGTAAATTCGCTCTGCTCTGATTGGCTGCCCTGTACGGCACACCTTTGAAAAAAAGCTCAGACCAAACACTCCTACATCAGTGTGAATGGGAGGGGCTAAACTGCTGTAGGCTGAATAGGCAGATATATGTTAATGTGTTGGTTTCTGTGACATCACAAACAAAAGCAACATAGGCTGTTTTTGCCATGAACTGGCTGACCAGTGGGCTGGAGAGTAACTTCTACATACGACATTTAGCTCTTATTATGGAATGGAATGACGGAAGGAAGGAAGGAAGGAATAAGGGAAGGAAGGAAGGAATGAGGGAAGGAATGAGGGAGGGAATGAAGGAAGGAAGGAATAAGGCAAGGAAGGAAGAAAGGAATGAAGGATGGAAAGAATGAGGGAAGGAAGGACGGAATGAGGGAAGGAATGAAGGACGGAATGAGGGAGGGAATGAAGGAAGGAATGAAGGAATAAGGCAAGGAGGGAAGGAAGGAAGGAAGGGAGGAGGGAAGGAATGAGGGAGGGAATGAGGGAAGGAATGAAGGACGGAATGAGGGAGGGAATGAAGGAAGGAATGAAGGAAAGAATGAGGGAAGGAATGAGGGAAGGAATGAAGGAATAAGGCAAGGAGGGAAGGAAGGAAGGAAGAGAGGAAGGATGGAATGAGGGAAGGAATGAGGCAGGGAATGAGGGAAGGAAGGAATAAGGCAAGGAAGGAAGGACGGAATGAGGGATGGAATGAAGGAAGGAATGAACGAAGGGAGGAAGGAATGAGGAAAGGAAGGAGGGAACGAGGGAAGGAATGAAGGAAGGAAGGAGGGAATGAGGGAAGGAAGGAAGGAAGGAATGAAGGAAAGAATGAGGGAAGGAATGAGGGAAGGAATGAAGGAATAAAGCAAGGAGGGAAGGAAGGAAGGAAGAGAGGAAGGATGGAATGAGGGAAGGAATGAGGGAGGGAATGAGGGAAGGAAGGAATAAGGCAAGGAAGGAAGGAGAGAAGGAATGAGGGAGGGAAGGAAGGACGGAATGAGGGAAGGAATGAAGGAAGGACGGAATGAAGGAAGGAATGAGGGAAGGAATGAAGGAAGGACGGAATGAGGGAAGGAAGGAAGGAAGGAGAGAAGGAAGGAGGCAAGGAAGGAAGGAAGGGAGGAAGGAAGGAGAGAAGGAAGGAGGCAAGGAAGGAAGGAAGGGAGGAAGGAAGGAGAGAAGGAAGGAGGCAAGGAAGGAAGGAAGGGAGGAAGGAAGGAGAGAAGGAAGGAGAGAAGGAAGGAGGCAAGGAAGGGAGGAAGGAATGAGGGAGGGAAGGAAGGACGGAATGAGGGAAGGAATGAAGGAAGGACGGAATGAGGGAAGGAATGAGGGAAGGAAGGAAGGAAGGAATAAGGCAAGGAAGGAAGGAAGGGAGGAAGGAATGAGGGAGGGAAGGAAGGACGGAATGAGGGAAGGAAGGACGGAATGAGGGAAGGAATGAAGGAAGGAAGGAGGGAAGGAAGGAATGAGTGATCTACAAAAGGACCACTGCAAATGAAGTGTTTGAGTACATCAGCATCCAGTGCTGTAACCCGTTAGCTGTAGTTTAAGCTCCAGTTCATTCCCCACCATTAACACTTCGTCCACTCTTGAACTCTCACAAACACTAGAATATCAAAATTAGAACGTCCCTCAGTATGACATGCATTTCTCTGATTGATAAGTATGTGAACTGAAGTGGACAAAATGGTCAACGGCTGATCAACTACATTGATTAGGGGTGGACGATAACAGAGCATACATTTGCTAATTTGCCAAACTGTTGCTGTTAAGCTGTGTGTGTGTGCGTCCATCTCTCAACACTTACGGTCCAGTCCGTTGACGTAGGTCATTGTGACCTCACAGTGACCCCACACAGCGCTGACGATCGGGTACAGCTTCTTCCCTTTCAGCCCGCGAAAGGCCACGCCCAGGAAGCGTCCGTCCGCGCAGAATCCCAGCGTCCCCTTCATCCATGTCCAACACCACCAGCACCTCCTCCGGCACGGAGAACACACCTTCATCATCCTCCTCCTCCTCTGTCTGCGGGTACGAAGGTGCTGCTCCAGTCTGGCTTTTCCTGTCGTGGTAAAGTTTTCCCCGCCCCAAATCCCACCCCCAGGATTCTGCATCACTCCCAACTAGTGCAGTGTAGCCTATTGCATGCAGTGGAGCCAGAGAGGTCGAGACCCCTATCACTGCATGTGTGCCACGCTGACGGACGGGCCAGCGGATAGTCCAGGCATGAAGGCCACGTGTAAATCCTTCTTTTCCTCGAGCGCAGTCCGTACTCTGAGCCACCGGGTGGCGATGAAAAGTCAGTTTGTCTTCGTCTTTGATGAATAAATTAAGCGAGCGGTCAGTTAGGGTTCCAGGAATGATGGAGCTGACTGGCTCTGCCCACCGGAGGCATGTCCAGCAGCAGCTCCAGACGGGGCGACAGCGGGCGGCCGCGGCCTCGGAGAGGCAGGAATGCCGGCCGGAACGCCAGAGCGACCCCCGGATCCCCGCGCTCCTCCTCCGCTGCCGATTTCACCACCGCAGAAAGCCTCTGCCCCATCACAGCCCAGCCACGGGCATCGCACAGCAACACTGGGGTTAACTCATGGGCGGGGCAAAGGGGGGCAGGTCAGCCAATTACGAACAAGAGATCTGCATCATAAGGAAGTGGACAAGGGACACAAGAGGGTCTGTGTAGAGAAGAGAGGAGGGTTAGAACTTGTATGATAATCACATACACATACATAAACACATACATTTGCTTATTAATTTAATTCAATTAAGATTTATTTGGGCGCCGTCACAAAGCAGCCTTAACCAAAATGTCGTAGGACAGTCACACAATTATATACTCACTGGTCTAAACAGCCAGTCGCCTCTTACTCCCCATGTAGCATTTATATGATATGATTCATTTTATTTAATTACACAACTGATTGAAAAAACATTTTAAAATGCCAGTCTGGTTCATTAAAGAGCAAACAATGCTATTTGTACTGCAAGTCTGGCTAATAAAAAGTGCGGGATTCGTGTTAGAATTGCATGTGTTCATTCGCTCCACACTGTCCGACCCTCTAAATAAATACATAAATAAATAAAAATATATTACGTTTGCTAACTGTTTCACATTCCTTCACTGCCTGTCAAAAGTTTGGCCCTTCGCTGTGAGAATACAGAGCTTTATTTTCAACGTTTCTTTTCAATCGTGGCCTTTAGCATCATACCCAGCGCTCGTTCCTTACGGTTTTGCTGCTGTTGCAAAGAAACTGGAAAGAGCTAAAGGGCTTTCTAATTAATATGTTAAGTTATTGCAAATGAACAACGGGAGAACACTCATTTATTAAACACATAATGAAAAAGAGGTGCTCCGAAACCTTGTGGAAAAAGTGGAAAAAGTATACGCTGTACTGTTTCATAGCTTCTACAGAGAAGCTTCTTCCCACAACCCATCACTCTCTTGAACAGTTAAAATATTAAACAAACAATATTCCAACTGCACTTATATATTGGTCTATAGTATATATGGTATATAGTAACACTCAACATCCATCCTCTGTAACTACCGTCTCAGACCAGCGGTTGCTGCACCTTACTTACCTGCCTTATTACCCCATTTATCTGTTACCTTACTTATCCCTTTTTTGCCGCTACGTGTGTGTGTGTGTGTGTGTGTGTGTGTGTGTGTGTGTGTGTGTGTGTGTTTGTGTGATGGTCCGAGTGTGTGTTAGGAATGCATATTCTATTTTATTTTATTCTATATATTTTATTTTTATTTATTTTTATTCTTATTTTACTTTCTATTGTTAAGTGTTTGTCGGATACTGTGCACTGTGAGCTCCTGTACCCAAAACCAAATTCCTTGTATGTGTAAGCAAACCTGGCCAATAAAGCTTGATCCTGATCTGACATTCCATAGTTTCCTTCAGTCTAAGTAGCACATTAAAAAGGAACCAGTGACCAGTGGCAAGATTTTGAACTTGAAATTGTGGTCCATATGTTCTCTGGGCTTGACTGACTGACTGACTGACTGAACAAATGACCGATTGACTGACTGATTAAACCATATAGCTAAAAAAAATAGTTTACAAATGACATCATATTAAATTTAGTGTTTGCTAAAATAAAACTACAGCTATTATTTATTTAATTATTTACCCCAAGTTAGTTGTGGCCTGGTAATTAAGTCTCCCACGATCAGACAATGCTGCCAATCTGGGAGGGCGAAGGCCAGAACGTTCTTTCTACAAGTTATGTGAAGCTCCACCACATCCTTTGAAAACGTGCCACTAACGCGACACCATTGGGCAGCTCGGTACACTTGGAGGGCAATGCTAACAGCTAATACTGTAACATCAGCTAAAAGACGCTGATGTTGGCCATCACTCTGAGCGGAAGAAGGAGCAGAAGAGGGAAGACGATCCTACCCTTCCAGAGAGAGAAAGGGAGGACAGTTAACTCATAATAATGAATGACTCCCTTGGACTCTTGGCCAAAGATGGCTGTGGCGCCTCCTGATGACTGGGTCAGCGCTTAGACAGCTTTTAACAAAACCCAAAATCCAAGTGGGCACTGTTAGATGTCCATCCTACACAAAATGTCAATGTAGACCAATCAAAACAAGTTCCCTGACATCTTCACTTATCATACTAAATGTAGTAATACACTGTTAGAAATAAAGGCTCTGTGCAGGTAAATCTTATCATCTTTAAGGCACAAACAATGTAAATGTTCCCCTTAAATAGTACAAAAGTGGTTTAAAGGTCCAGCTGTGCACCTTAAATAAGTTTCTTCCCCAGGCAGAAATACATGTAACCTCATTTTTCGAACACAGAACAATAAAATTAAAAAGCCTGGAGACGAGACGGGGTGTACTGAGGAAATACATCATAAAAATATATTTGCAGTGGATTATGAGACACTTATGTTCCCTAACGGAAGGTACTGAGATACACCCTTGAGGGTACCACCTCAGTGACACTCTCAGAAATATAGGTACTAAACTGTCTCTGGGGTGGGACCCTCAAGGGTTCATCTCAGTACCTTTAGTCAGGGAACATAACTGTAACATAATCCACTGAAATTATATGTTCTAAACTGTACTGACTCCACACACCCCGTCTCGTCTCCAGGACTTTATTTTACTGTTCTGTTTTAAAACATTCGGTTATGAAAAGATACAAATACGAACTTTTCACCTGGAAAAACTTATGCAAGGTTCATAATTGGACCTTAAAACCACTGTTGTACCTTTGAGGGAACATTTACATTCTTTGTATCTTGATGAACGAAAAATGTACCTGAACAGAACCTTTATTTCTAACAGTGGACAAGTGGTGCCCCACCCCAGTGACAGTTTAGCATCTTTTTTTCCTGAGACTGTAGGATATGAATGGGTTAATCTTCCACACAAACTCATCAAAACAAGGCGAAAAAGCCCAAACCACTCAGCCACTCGGAGACACGGCTGTATAATACAGAAGCTCAAAGACTCAAATCCATCCACCGAGTCTGCTGTCACTGCTTTTCACCGTGAAAAAAAAGCTGCATATTTCCCACAAATCCATTTTGATGACCACACTTTCCATAAAACTCTTTTGAAACCAGTGTGACTCATCATCACAGCTGCTTCTATTGCAAAACCTCAAACCAAACAGCCAAAAAACACGCACACACTTCTGCTTCAGGCGCAGGAAATATACAGTATTACGCAACTCTGACATACACACTATTCATTATCCTCCCTGTCTAGGTGTAAACACTGTGCAAACGCAGTGTGAGGAAGAAGGACGGGAGAAAACCTTTTGAAGCTGTTAGCACCTAGCGCACTCCAGAAAGGAGTGAAAAATATAACCTAGCTGTAAAACGGAAAGAAAGAGTGAGGGGCTGGAAGAGCGGGGAAAGCCGAGAGCGAGAGGAGAGAGGAGTAGCCAAGTGGTTCTCACTAAAGGAAACTAATCAAATTTACAGTTTCACTGCTTTACGCCAAATATAGTCTTAGCCACTAAAGAAGTTTGCTTCTTTAGTTTTACACTGGAGCTACGAGGCTAATGCAGCTAACAAGTAATGGGCAGTTTAGCACCAAACTGCAGGCCAAAAGCACCACATCCTTGCGTCAAACCGTGTGGAGCTGTGAAGTCATCACTAATAGACATGTTTATGTGGTTGGTGACACTGGGTGACACACTAGCTACGTCCCAATTCAGGGGCTGCATCCTTCGAAGGCTGCATTCGAAGGTTGACTGGGTCACAGCTTCGAAGGCCTCTCATATGCGGCCGAGAAATGTGTCCTTCTTTTCCATGGCAATGAAGGATCCAATGGGAGGACATCCCGATCCCAGGGATCCCGAGGGTCACAGTATGTTGGCTGATTCAGGAACATGGCAGCCTCAGCAGAGGAGTGAACGGCAGCTGAGGAGACACTTTTAAATACAAGTATTGGGTTTAAACTGAGGCGAATAGCTAACGATACAAATGTTAAGAAAAGCCAGTGTGGTCCGAAGCAACACTTCCACTAACGTTGTGTTTTGTTTTAGGGAGTGAAGAGCCAACAGAGAGAAGCATCTCCAGCTCTAATAAAGGAAAAAATAAAAAAAACTAAAATCAAAGTTTCTGGTCCATCTTTAAAGAACTTTAAAAGAACTTGATAAGAGCAGCACTTCGTGACGCAGTGGTGCTGTGATGCAAACAGGAAATCTGCCGTAGAGCAGACCGTCTCATTTCGGGTCAGCCTTCGCGGCTCTACGCAGCCTTCAAAGGACACGCCTTCGTAGAGCGCGTCCTTCGTAGGATGCATCCCCTGAATTGGGACACATTATCTACTGATACTTAGACATCACAATCTACCATTTTGGCAGGTGACTTCAATTTCATTCAGCAGTGCTGTGGCGGTTTGTAAGGAGATAAAGCCGCAGCCGATGCAGGAAAGGCAGCAAAATGTTTTTTCAACACTTTTTAAATCTCATCTATGAAGCGTATTAACCAACATATTTGAGTGTATTGACTTGCTTCCACTTGATTTGTTGCTGTAGTGATAAGAAATGAAAGCTAACATCAAAACTTCGGAGATTCCTGCTGCTTTCTTATTTTACGCATCCCAAACTGAATGCAGGACACTAAACGGTATGCAAAAAATAGTGAACACACATTTAGAAGTGCACTCATTAGTGTAGCAGGTGAAGTACAGAAGTGTGTGGTTTGAGATGCGGCGTTAGATCAGCCAGCGAGGCGCGATCAGCAGCTCCAGTGGCTGATTATAGCTTCGCTGTGCTGCTTGTTAGCTGCTCAGTAAACATCTCCAAGCGAAGGTTTGAGGTATTTGTTGTTTAAGGATGCACTTATTGAGGCAAATTGATATTGACTTTGTATTCGCCGACTTTCGAAATACGTTCTACGTTTAAGGCACCTCACTGTAACTGCAGCACCATTTAAGGTGGAGCGGAAAATTCAAACGAGAAGCTGATGAATAAGAAACTGACTCGAGCTTGATATACAGCTATGTATGAGTTTATTATTTAAGAGCTTTGGCAGTTTTGGTCGCCACTTTTATTCGTTCTTATAAAATGTAATGCACTGGAAAGCTCTGAACTCTGGAGATGTGCAGACTATACGGATCCACCAATCTAGCTAATCCTTTTCATTGTAGCTCTTTCTGGAGATGCATCTAAAGCGTTTGCGCATCTTTTTCATGGTC